CTTCTGCAAGAAATCTTTCTTTTCCTGGTCCTCTTCAATTGTCCTGCCTTCCCTCTGAGATTACTCCCAAATTTGTACCATATATATCTTGTGTGTCCTTAGTAGTTTCCCCCATTAGATACCGGGCTCCTTGAAAGCCAGGAGTTGTTTTAAATGGCTTCGTTTTGTGCCAATGGTCATGAGCACACGTGTGCTTTTCCTTACAACAGGTAACCTTAACTGGATGAAACCGGACTGAACAGTCTTCTCCACCTTTAGTTAGTTCTTGACTGCTGGATGTCACGCTGTACACACGTGTTTGTTTCACTGTTCTCTATTACCGTTTTTAATAATGTCATCACTCCAAAGAAACAACACAAACGGTGGAGCCACTGCCTTTTGGTTGGTCTCTCTGCCTCCAGCCTTTCCCTACTTGTTATCTTCCACTCTGCTACCCAACAGCCCTTCCTAAAGCACAGGACTAATTGTGTCAGCCCTCCAGCCAATCAGCTCCAGCGGCTCCCAGCGCCTCCACGATCAAAAATAAAATCCTGTTTGGCTTTTAAATCCCTTTGGAGCCCAACCCCTTCCTCCCCTGCCAAGCACCACGACATCCAGTCACAGTGGCCTTCTTGCTAGTCCTGGAAAACAATCCATCTCCAGTCTGGGAGCATTCTCACTGGCTATCCCCGCGCCCCAAACTCTCTTCCTCTCCATCTCCATCTTCCGGCTTCCGTCAAGTCCCAGCTCAAATCCCACCTTCTATATGATCCACTTCCTTCCCCAGTTCCCCTTCAGGCTAGTGCCCTTTCCAATTTATACTGTATCTATCTTATTTGTACATGGGTGTTTGCATGTCATCTCCCCGTTTGATTGTGACCTCAAGAGCAAGAATTGTCTTTTTTGCCTCTCTTGGTATCCCCAGCCCTTAGTGTAGTACCTGGTACAAAGGAGGTGCTTAAAAAGTGCTTGTTGAGGGGCACCTAGGTGGCACAGTGGATAGAGCTCTGGCCTTGGAGTCAAGAGGACCTGGATTCAAATCTGGCCTCAGACACTTGACACTTACTAGCTGTGTGACCCTGGGCAAGTCACTTAATTCCAATTGCCTAAGGGGAAAAAAAATGCTTGTTGACTTGACTCAGATCTTAAAAAGCACACAGCATTGACCATGATGCAATACTGCATAGCTGCTCCTATGGAGAAGTGAAGGGTTTTAAGGACTCAAGTTCAAGATTTCAAAGTCACCACAAAAAAGAATCAGTTGCAACAAAGAAAGGAAAGGAAAACCACCAAGAAGTGACAAGAAGCTCTTGCAGATAAACAATCTCAGATAAATAATGCTCAGAAAGCAAGCAAGGCCTTCGGAGGACCCAGCTGGAGATATTGCCACAGATGAGGCCTGGGCTTCTTAAAGTTGGCACAAGGATGAGAAAGCCACGTTTTTTGGTTTTGGTTGTGTTTGGTTTTTTTTTTAAAGGTGCTAACCTTGCTATGGGAAAAAAAAAAAACCCTGTCATGGGCAATATAATACAAAAACTGGGGTATGGGAAAGTGGACACTTTTCACTCAAGTCTATCAAAATTGTATTCATAAAAAAGTCCAAGTGAGCCAATACAAACTGAACAGTGTCCTCAGACTGTAAACCCAACCAAAATGGGGCCCTGGTAACTTTTTACTTTCGGTGGGCCTGGAATTCTGATCTCTTTTGAGGAATTATGAACTCCGATATTAACAGACTGTTCCAGAACTATAAACATTCCCAAATGGAGACAGAATATTGCAATCTACCCATGTCACCAAATGTTAACCAGTTTCTCCAAGAGATAGAGATAAATATGCTTCAATAGCCTGGGAACTCACTTGACTTAAATCCCATTGAAAACCAATAGGTTATAATCAAGACTAGCTTGGGGAAATGGACTATTTGTCAAAGGTACACTTAATATCCCGTGTGATGAGTGTGGTTTCATGATAAAGAATTAAGGAATGCATGTCAAAGTCTTGTGAACTCAATGTCAAATCATATAAAACAAGTGACTCCAGCAAAAGGAGGACATATTACATAAAGTTTTTAAAGACTGAAAAGTTGTAAGGTTTATTGTATAAGTCTAGATGCTTCATTATTTTATTTTGTGACTGCTGGTACTGGGCACGGCACCAGATATGTCCAGAGCAAGACTCAAACCCAGGTCCCTGCTGACTCAAGCTGCCACTACCTAAATGACAGTCCTGTCCAAGGCAAGGCCTGCAAAATTTCAAAATAATTGTGCTAAGTCAACTCAAAGGTGTTCACCCCCCACTCATTCTGTTTTTCTAAACAAAGATTTGGCCTACTGGTTATAATATAAACAGGCTCCTTCATTTCTGCAGAAAACAAATCATAGACTTTCAGAGCCTGAGAAGGTGGAACATCAAGGTCATGGAATGTGACTCCCTCATTTTACAGCTTGGGAAACTGAGGTTCTGAGGCAGAAGTGAGATTGAATCCCAGGTCTCCTTAAAACACTCTACACACCATGCATCCCCCGCCCCGAGTGAACTAGATTTTAAATAAGTACCAAATGGACAAGTGCCAGGAGATTAGGAAATTGTCATCAGGCCAAGAAAAGGGACCCGAGACAGAGAAACCTAGGCAGAAAGCCATCGGTGGGCACGTTTAAAGCAGCATCAGAGACTCGGGGTAATGTGTAAGAGGAAGTACTTGCAGCATTAATTCCAAAAGCAGCAGGCTTTAAGGTATGTCACAGCAGCAAAATATCAGGCTGACTATTGGCTGGCCTGGAGGCTGTAGGGCAGGAATCAGTGAGAGATCTACCAGGAGGGAAAAAGCTCAGAGAGATTAGTAATTAAATATGTAACAAGGAGGAAAAGGAAAGAGTCAGGATCTTATATTCTATCAGGAAATTCAACACCTTCAATTGCAAACAATTAGATAGCCATGCAATTTAGGGGAAGATCACTTCCTAAAATGGTTATCAGGACAAGCCAACTTTTCTTGAGCACCAATTGACTAACTGGCTTTCGCCAAGGTGAGGAGGAGGAAGGGCAATGGATTATATTTCTTTTCAACAATTCAATAAGCCATCGTTTTCTAAAGTACCTACTATGGCACTGGGGACACAGATAAAAATTAAAGCCATCTCTGCCCTCCCTCAGGTGCTTACACTGTCCTGGGGGGAAGGAACAGGTATCCAGGAAAGTAAACACAAAGGGTAAATACAAAGTAATTGTGTATATGTGTGTGGGGGGGGGGGTTTCCATCCCCCTTGGCTGGTGAAGTCCCTACTTAGGAGATGGCATCTGACTCAAGCCTTGGATGGGCCAAAGGATTCCAAAGAGGCAGAAGGTGGGGGTGGGGGATGGGGGAGCGTTCCTGGCACACAGAACAGCCGGAACAAGAGTACTTCTGAGGGGAAGAGCAAATAGGTCATTGTGATGGAAAATAGAGTTTGCTCAGGAGAATACTATGAAATAAACCTGGAAAGAGAGGTCGGAGAAAGGCTGTAAAAAGCTTTAAATGCCAAACATAAGAGTTTGTATTTTATCCCGGAGGCAAATAGTCACTGAAGCATTTTGAGCAAGGGAGTGAGTGACACAGACAGACCTGCACTTGAAGGACATCAATTTCATAGTTGCCCGAATAGCAGATTAGAAGGGAGGGCCAGAGAGAGAGGCTGAACTGAGGTGGTGCCACCAGATACTGGTGAAAAAAGACGCCAAGAGAGAACAGGCAAGACCTGGCAACAGACTGACCAGAGACGGGGGCACAAGAAAGAGGGACATGGTGGAGATGCTTTAGGGGTGTCAAATCTGGGTGACTGAAAGTCTCTATTTCCCATTACCCACTTCACAAACTGTTTCCAATTTATTGGAAATTATCTTGTACTTAACTGCCTGTATAAATGCAATACTCCCAACAATATGTAAGCTCTTTGAGGATGAGAGCTGTTTTTCACTGCTGTCTTTGCATCCTCAGCACCTAGCACGTAAGTATTTGATAAATGCTTCTTCCTGTTGCTGGTAGTATCTTGCCAAACTAATCTTTACCTGCTCCCTAATTACTTCTAGCAATATCTTTTAGCCTATGTGTATCACTCTATCTCTAGGACAGGGGACTCCTAATTTTACTTCCTGTCCATCTCCTCAGTATACCGTTCTATCCAGACTAAATATAAATAATCAGAGGAGGTTTGTTGGCATTCTCAAATCTATGCAAAAGGTGATACAGGTGCTTCATCTTAAAAGTCTTTATCTATGATTTCACAGTATAACTGCGATCATATTGCTTGCCTTCTCAATGAGTTCGGGAGGAACTCAAAACTTAAGAAAATGTTAAAAAATAAATGAAATAAATAATAATGTTAAATAAATAATTGTAAAACTTAAATTTAGATTTAAAATATCCCAAAGTCTACGTACAAAGTAAATATTTTAAAATTATTTGGTAAAGCAAACAGTTCACCCACTAGGCCTAGGTCTCTGGGCACTTATTAACTAAGACAAGTCACTTTAACCTTCCTGGGTCTCAAGTTTCCTCATCTATAAAAAGGGGATAATTATAAGCATCCACCTCCCAGGATAGTTGTGAGGATCAAACTGAGATGATGTTTGCAAAGCGCTTTGCAAACCATAAACTGCAGTATAAACGCTGGCTATTATTATATCATAGTGGGCGCTTTTTAATAGTTGTTGCCTTAATACGTGCCTCTAGACGAAGCGATTTGCTCCAGGGCACAGAACTCGAACCCAAGACCTCTCCCTCATTTCAAATTTACCCCTCGGTCCATTGCACCAGACTGACTGCTCTGGTTCATTCCCCTTCTCTGGGCCTCTCCTTCCCCCCATGGGTAAGGGCAGGGCAAGCCGGTGCTACCCTCCCTTTCCCGACCGCCGGTTCTGAGAGATCTCCCCCACCCCCTCCAGGCTTCCTAATGAATAATCATGAGGTCTCATTAATATTCAAGAACCCGACCGGAAGAGTAGGTCGGGAAAAGCCCCAGGTTCATAGTTCAGGAGCCCACCTGAAGCCGCGGACTCGCCTCAAGCCGAGTCCTCGGGCCCGGCCACCAGCGCCCGCGCTCCGTGGTTAGGTTTTCGGGCCCTGACGGCGGCGCCGGGCCACGGCGGCCCTCCTAGCCCCATGCAGCCGCTCCTGCAGCCGTGACAGCACAAACTCAGTGACCAGCACACCGCTCCCTGCTCCCCGCCCCTCGTTACCTGGAGACGCTTCTGACGGACGGCCATTCGCTCTCATTGGAGGGGAAACGAATAGGAGGCGGGATCCGAGGGAGACCATAGCCAATGGAAGTGTGCTGAGGATGGGTCTAATAGGTCAAACAAGCAGCAGGTGGTGAGGGAGCCGGGGTGGTTGGGCTTGGATTGGTAACGGAAGACAGGACGGAGGACTCACTAGGAAGAAATTTTGAGGAGGAAGGATGTGGCTTATTTCCAGCGAGGCTCCTTCCACTCCTTTAGCCCTCGTTCTCCAGTAACTAAATATGTGGAGTGACGAGAGGTCATCTTTTAAAAGATTATAGGAGCTGGTGGAGCCTGTTTTATTTTAAAATTTATTTTACTAAAGGCTGCTGCCACAAATGGGCTCGTCCAATGGGGGAAGGAGGGAGGGGAGGTGATGCACAGCTTCCTGGGAAATGTAGTCTCTACCTTATTTTCCCACGTGCAGATTGAGTCCTTCCAGTGTAAAATGAGACAGGGACAGATTTTGCCAGAGGCATAGCTATGCCACCCTTGAGACCTTGATTCTATAGGTCATTTGACGTTTATTGAAAGCTAATTGCGTGCTGGGCGTTCAGTGAGATACTGATAGGGTGCTTCACCTCCTAGGTTTTATAATCCAGAGTAACCTATTTATAGTATATATGTGTGTGCATGTATTATAAGGATTTATATAGCACCCACATTGTGCCGGGCACTGTACTATACAAATATCTCGTGTTGTTAAGATTCAGATGTTAGGGGTGCTGGGACCCCAAAATCAGAATACCGGGGGTCCTGCCCAAAAGAATTTCACCCAAGCCTTCTTTCAGTCAAAGACAAGGTGAATTAAAGATGAACCATATGGGCCAGACTCTTAAGGAATCTGAACATTTGTGAAGCTTTGCAACAGGGTATGAGGAAGTCTCAGGCCCTAAATGGTGACCAGGAAGAATCTTATATAGAGAAAGAACATGGGAGGCACCTGGGAGTGGTCAAGTAGTTTTGGGGTGAGGGGGAGGGCGGTGCCTGGGAGAAGGGGCGTGTTGATGGGAGTGGCCGGTGCTAGAGGAGGAGGAGTTTAGGGAAGATCTTGAAGCTGGGTTGACTGGGGATGGGTCCTGGGAGAATCCTGATGGGAGTGTCTGGGAGGCTGAATGGAGTCATCCGCGGAATAGGCAATGGAGGGCTAGGTTTAATCAAGATAACAAAGAATTGGGAGATTGGGCCTAGACAGATAAGGAAAGGCCAGTTGAGTGAATTTATAGTCTCAGGCAAATGCTTAAAACTTCTCTGACTAAGGCAGTTCAAGGAAAGTTTAAGGGTTTTGTGCGGCCCTAGACAAATGAGACCCAAATTCTTTTTGGGAGAGACACAGGCTATCTTTGCCCTAAGCAAGCCACCCCTCTCTTTTCTGAAACCCTTCATATCTGGAAATTTATAGTGGAAAGTCTTCTGCCAATCCCTTGGGCCCACTGACTGTGACATCACAGGTGTAAAACCAATCAAATGACCCTCAGCAAAAGCGTACCCCTCTCTTGGAAACCCCTGAGCATTGCTAGGTTTCATTAGGATGATCTAATGGGTGGGCAGCTGTGTGCTACCCCTGCTGGGAGTAGGCTCACTATGCATCAAGGGGGTGTTGTCTACAGTCAAATTCCTAGGGGAAAAAGCTTTTTACATTTCTGGAGTCAATTTCCTCTTTTCTCACCTCTCAACTTTTAGCAATCTGGCCTCTTCACTCCTGCACAGATAGGACTCTCTCCAAGTCATCCCCGTGGTGCCATACCTGATGGCCTTTTCTTAGTCCTCATTCTTCCTGGTCTCTATGCAGCATTTGACTCTGCTGACCTTCCCCTGCCTTCCTACGTGCTTCCTCTTCCTTGGTTTTTGTGACATTGCCCTCTCTTGGTTCTGTTCCTACTTACCTAGCTAGCTTCTCTTTAGTCTCCTCTGCTGCATCATCATCACATCCTACCTCATCCAATACCTACATCTCCAATGGTGGACATTCCCCAAGGCTCTGTCTCTGGTCCTCTTTTCTCTCTAAACCTTTTCTCTTGATGATCTCATCCTCTCCCAAGGATTTAAATATTATCTCTATGTGGACTTCTCCCAGATCTATTGTATGTATAGTTGTATAAATCTAAGTTCAAGCTTTTGATCTTTCTTTTTTTAAATAATATTTTTTCTCCCCAATTACATGTAGAAACCATGTTTTAACATTTGTTGTTTTCTTTTTTAAGGTTTTGAGTTCCAAATTCCTATTTCTCCCTCCCCTCTTCCTGAGACAGTAATTTGGTATAGGTTGTACATGTGCAATCTTGTAAAATATTTCCATATTAGTCATTTTGTGCAAGAAGAGTTGAAAAGACAAAGAGGAAAGAAAGAACAAAAGAATGAAAGAAAGAAAGGAAGGAAGGAAGGAAGGAAGGAAGGAAGGAAGGAAGGAAGGAAG